GTAGCTGTGGCCCTAGGGGGATTCACCTCTGTGAATTTATAGATGTTGCCCATCTATAAATTGGGGATAAGAATAAAACATACCTGACAGGGTGGTTATGAGGATCTGATGAGATGATGCAAGCAAAGTGCTCCTACACAACCTGGCACGAAGAGGCCCAGAAAGGTAGATATAATACTTCTAGTTACGTTCTTCAGAAGTGTGTCCACCCACGTGATGCTGTGCTGACTGGCAGGTCAGAACGATCCTGCCCTTTCGTAGAAGGACTGAGGTACCGGGGTGGGTATCCTTCTGCTCCTCACACCCTCACTCCAGCACCCTAGCCAGCTGACCACAGGGCCCATCGGATCTCCTTCCCTGGGAGTCCCTCTTTCTGGGGAGCCCCACTGCCTCCAGGAGGTGTGACCTCAGTTACAAGCTGAGTAAACATGAGGCTGTCACATCCTGCCTGCACTGGTCTGAAGATGCACAGCCCGGAGCTGGCAGGATGGGAATGTGTGCTCAGCTCTGGTCCTTCATGCAAACCCCAAGGCTTAACACCCAGACCGCCACATGTGTCAAAGGCACCCCCCTACTGCCAAGATGGACGGGCCAGTTCTGACGTGCTTGGAGATAAGCTCTCACCAGGTTTTGTGATCCATACACAGTCTGACAATACTCATCAATCCTCTTGAAAGAGAGCCAAGGTTGTGATGCTTTAAACACACATTTTGTGTCTTGCAACACATTTAAAGTAGATTGGTGCCATAAATTTGGATCAAATAGCTACCACATGGGCGCACAACAATGCTCACAGTGTCTAGGCTGTGGGGCTGGGTGTGAGTGGGGCTGCGGCAGCACACGGCCCGCTGGCTACACCGGGCTGTGATCTCGAGGAGCTGGTGGAGATGCTGCCCTGCCGGCCTTGGCTGGCCTTTGAGAGCATGCCAGGCTGGGACCGGCTGCTGGGGTGGGTGCTGGTGGTAGTGGTGGTGGATGGAACTAATCAACAGCAAACTTCAGAGGACCAGAAGCATCTTTGCTGAGAGTTAAATTCCACCCCTTACTGAAAGAAAGGCCTCCCCGCAGGTGTGTCAAGTTGCCAGGACAGATGTGGAAGGGCCACTGGTCACCCCGTGGGGCCCCCTCACACCCTGAACACATGGGGTGTCCCGCGGCCTCACTCCCAGCTCTATGTCCCCACTGGGTGGCACGGGGTGCTGGGTGGGAGCAAACTCTCGTCTTCCCAGCATCTGTGACCAAGCTGCCCTTCGTGTGGGTCCCTCCTTCCAGGCCTCTTTCTAGGCAGAGAGCAGAGATGGGAAGAGAGAAAAGAGATTTGGTGGACAAAGGAAAAGAGCCAGAGGGTTACCCCTCCACATCCCAGAGAAACCACAGGGGAGGGTGGTCTATGCACAGTTAGCTTAGCCTGGGGTGACACCCCCCTCCCCCGAGCAGACATTTCCTTCTGCACTAGGGTGGGAAGACTGGCTCCTGGGTTCAGACTCATGAGACCTAGCTTCTAATCCCAGCATGATTATCACTAGTTGTGCAGTGTTGGGGCTTCCCTGATAGCTCAGACGGTAAAGAATCTGCCTGCAATGCAGGAGACCTGGGTTCAATCCCTGGGTCGGGAAGATCCCCCTGAAGAAGGGAATGGCAACCCACTCCAGTATTCTTGCCTGGAGAATTACATGGACAGAGGAGCCTGGCAGGCAACAGTCCACGGGGTGGCAAAGAGTCGGACACGACTGAGTGACTAACACTGGACTTGTGCAACGCTGGGCAGAGTATTAACCTCTCTGAGCTTCTCATCTCTTGACAGTGGGGATAATGCATCAAATTACTGGGCCAAGGTGAGATGAGATGAGTGAGAGACAGAGTGGAAGGACTTTGGCTGAACCAGGGATGTGAAGTACTGCTGCCCTTGCCCTTGGGCAAGATTCTTCATTTAAGAATTGAAAAATGGGATGAAACACTTTAACACTTTTTCCATATCTCATGGAAAAAGGACTCTTCATCTAAGAATTCTGGTGGGAAGAATACTTCTGCCTGGGTATGGTGATCACTGGGGCTCAGGCAGTGGGAACAGGCACTTGTAGCCTCCTGAGTATCACGTGACCTTGAGGAATGACCCCCAGGTTCTTGGGGGTGGACTCTGCTGCTGGCCATTGGCCTCCAGTGCACCCTAGCCTCCGTTGGACTAGGATGCTGCGGCTTCAGTGATGACAGGACAAGGGTCCCAGCAGAGTGAGGGCTAGCACAGAGACGAGAGTTCTAAGACCACCTGGTGGCTCCAGAGCTCCTACTGAGAAGTCTCAAGGACAGGCTGGGAGAAAAGAAGGTGGCAGGAGCCTTCCAGAAATGCAGAGAAGCCGGCAGCCTCACAGCTCCCCCTGGATTCCATGAGAAGAGGCTGTTGTGGAAGGGCAGGAGCAGGTCAACAGAGAAAGAAAGTATGGGGAACATGAGCTGAGCATGAAGAAGGGCCTTCTCAGAACCCCAGGAGACCTAAGAGCGGTGATGCTTCTGACAAGCACTGGATGTGGATGAAGAAAGGCCTGGGCATAGACTCGAGGGGACTGACTCATAAAGCCAGGGTCGGGTGGGACGCTGCTCCTCTCTAGGGGGTATGGAGCCAGCTCTGTTCTTAGGAAGCTGTAACTTCCCTGAGCAGGAAGGGATTTCAATCCAGTTTCCCATCGGATATAGAAGCTTCTCCTAACACATGACAGACCCATAGTTTTCCAGCCTCTCCTTAAATGCCTCTGGTGACGGGGAGCCCTGTCCTTCTCAAGGTACCCACCGGCACTTGCTTTATCCTTAGTCAGGCTAAAGAAGAACATGTGTGCTTTCTCCAGCAGCCCTGAGCCTCCTCCAGCAGCCCTGAGCCTTCTCTCTCAGGAACAGGCTTCCCCGGGATCAGAGGCTGCCCTTCTGTCAGTAGGACCACACTAGTTTCCTCTACAAATTCCACACAGTCAGGGCTGAACGATTCCTCCCACAAACTTCACCCAGAATGGCCACAATCATGGAACCAGGCCCTGTACCATCATGACACCTTAGCCCCAAGCTGACGCCTCTCTATCCTCAGGGCAACAGACCCCACTCCCCAGCCCCAAAACCTCCTTTCTGAATGAACCAGACTTCCAGTTGGCAGGGGAATGCAGATGCCTGCCATGGTAGGGATGCCAGTCGTGATCATCCCCATGACTCCCTGGGGAAACTGCTGCCCTGAAGTTTCTTCACAGCTGGAAAGAGCTGGTCTAGCTGCTAATGGGAAAGCCGACCCCGTGCTCCACCGGGAGGCAGCACATTTTGTGAGTCTGCGTGAGTGGATGAAAGCAACCTCTGGGGCTGTAATTTCCACTTCCTGACACAGTGCAAACTTCGCAGTTTATGCAGAACTAATGAAAGATCTCTCGGATCTTGCCACTTCACCCACCAAGCGCCCACAAAACAATGCGGTGAAGGCCCCTGCTGGATTACAGAGCTACAGAGCCTGTGGAATGTGCTCCTCCAGAGCTGATTCTTCCCTTTCCAGAATCCCTCCCCTTCCTCGTCCTGCCTTTCTTTCCTGTCTCTCTTCTTCCCCTGGAAGGCGCCAGAGCCTCCCAGCTGGGGCCTGGAGGGTGGGATGGGCTCCTTAAGACACAAGGCATCATGTGAAGGGCTGTGACCTGGACTTGAATTCCTGCTTTGCCACTTATGAGCCACTTAGGTTGTACCTCAGTTTCCTCATCTGTTAAATAGGAGAAGAAGAGTACCAGCCTCCTAGGATTAGATATGATGCAGGTCCCACTGAAGGCCAACCTGGCACACAGGAGACATTCAGTAAGTGGTGTATGGTGTTAAAATTATTTTTACATTATTAAAATTACTGTAATGACCATCTCTGGGCCTTGGCTCAATTGTTCCCTGTCTAAAATGCCATTTCCCTTGAAATCTGCTGCTTGAAGGAGCACAGTGGTAGATTAAAGATGGTCACAAAGGCTCTGCCATCCTCCCACAGGAAGAACCAGGGGCTGAGTCCTCTCGCCCCACTGACTTGAATGCTTTGGTGGCGTTACTTGCTTTGATCAATAGAACCTCAGAAAATGTGATGCAAGAGATGCTTTCGAAAAGCACTTGTGCACTGGGACTTGCCTGTTTCGAAAGCTGACCTGGGCCTGCCATGCTGTGAGGAAATCCATCTGCCCTACACTAGGGGCTGAGAGGCCACGTGGAGTAGAACAGAGGAACCCAGGCCAGAACTGGCGCCAGCCCCAGGCATGTGGACGAGGCCGTCTTGGCCCCTCGGCTGTTCCAGCCATCATCCCATGTGACTGCATGAGTGAGCCCCGAGGAGACAGCTGGCCAAGCCACAGAATCCTGAGAAATAATTGTTTCAAGACGGTAAGTTTGGGATGGTTCGTTACACGGCAATAGATAACTGATACACTTACCCATTCACCGGGATTGAACTCAGAGGCTGTCCTCTCTCAGACGACTTCCCCCAAATCCTCCCAACCTAGAATGAATCTCCCTGAACCCCCTACCCCAATATTGACACAGCACTTGGGATGGTAGTGATTAGTGCAGTTGCCTTCACTAGGGTTATTTGCGTAGGAATCCTGTCTGTTTGGCCTGTGAGCAGCCAGACAGCAGAGTTGGGACCTTCCATATCCCCTACCACACTCAGAAGCTCTGCCTGGTCCCCACTTACTAGGTCCTCAGTGGGCAGGTGAAAACCTGTGCCTCTGTGTGGACACAGCCACTCGGGTTGGCAGGGGACACATTCCTGGGTCTTAGGTCCAGTGGGGCCACTGACTTGCCCAAGTCCCTTCCCCCTCTGAGCCTCCTACTTCCTCAATGGAGACACAAACCCACTGATCACTTAAATTCAAGACTTTTGAGGCCCTTGCTGATGTGTGTGCAAAAGTGTGCATGGGCCAAGTCCAGACCCCGTGTGCACTGAGGTGAAGCCCCACTTGGATTATCACTTGGTGGGGGACGGGTCCTCCCTGCCCCCTCCTTCTTACCTTCCGGCCGTGGTAGCCCTGGATCCCTGGGTCTCCCTGAGGGGAACCAAGAGAAGGCCATTAGAGGGGTTTTCTTGCTGCACCCCCCTCCTCCACGTTACCATCCCCCTTCTTCCCAGTGACTCCAAATCCTCTGACCTCCACCTCCAGCCAACCTTGGAACAATAGCAGGGACTGTTTGACTTCCCAGAACCAGTCCTTGTCTTGCAGAGGCTGAGGGAGGAGGGACGGGTCGGCTCGGCAGGGGCACAGGACCCCTGAACCATGGGCTCTCTGTGGCACCTGGACAAGTCACTTCCCCCAGGACTCCAGCTCCTGCAACTGTGAAACGGCTGGCTGGATCAGTGCTTTGCAACTTCTCTTTCCTAGAGCCACAGGGACTCCAGCTTCAAAGGGAGACTCGACACTGTGGCTTCCAGATAAGGTTTCGAAAGAAACTGGATGACCGCAAAGGTCCTTTCCAGTTCTGGCCCCTCAGGAGCCACTGTTTTACTGGGATGTTGTGACAATGTCCTGGGCATCTGAGTTCCCAACTAGACCATGATCTGTTTGGAGAGCGGGGCTGCATCTTCCATACCAGCCACAGCACTTACTTGGCCTGAGCCCACGAAAGTGCAATCCTTGTGAAGCCCATCAATTCCCTCTCAGCTCCTTACTCAGTACCTGTCAGTGCGCCAGCCCCTACCCACCAGGGAACTTCCCCACCCACTTGATGCATCCCCCATCACTCAAGGGCCCTCACCTTTGGTCCAGGAGGCCCCGGTAAGCCCTGCAGAAGCAAGAAGAAAGGTGAGTGGAGATGGATTCCAATGGCAAATAGTGAGGGCTAAACACATTTAGATGGTGCAGTTGGTAAAGAATCTGCCTGCCAGTGTAGGAGATGTAAGAGACATGGGTTCGATCCCTGGGTCGGGAAGATCCCCTGGAGTAGGAAATGGCAACCATTCCAGTATTCCTGCCTGGGAAATCCCATGGACTGAGGAATCTGGCAGCTACAGTCCATGGGGTTGCAAAGAGTCGGACACTACTGAGTACGCACACACACAAACACGTTTACAGAGGAGCCTGCAGTGGGTTCTGGGTGCACTGGAGAACAGATCGAGGGCCCTCAAAGGGTATCTGAAGCCTGCTGAAGGCACATGGGGACAACAGGTTCAGTCCCTCTTTGGAGCCACATGGGTGCCTCGGGCACCTCTGCTGTGCTGGCCTGCTGCAAACTAGGTCAATGGCATCATGTGAAATTGATAGTGTGTTTGGTCCAGGGCCCCACCCACCCACCTCCTAACTAGAGCCGCTCCCTGGAAAGCTGACCTTGCCCAGCAGAGCTTGGGTTTTGCCCCTGGCCCTGCCAGCTTGCAGGGGAGCCCTCTGTCTCCATTCCCCACCCCTGGGGCGCTGTGACCACAGGAGCCAGCTTGGGGGAAGTGGTGTGAGCTCCGCAGGAGCCCGAGGGAGAGGAAAGGGAAGGCAGGCTTCAGCGTGGTCCCGGGCGTGGGTCTGGATGGCAAACACTGGCTGGAGAAAACCATGATGCCTGAGTCTGGCCTGTTTCAATTGGTTTAAAAACATGCGTTCTGGTTTTTTTCTTTATAAACAACCTAACAAAGAAAACTGCCTGGCTTGGGTTCAGGGATCGGGAGCCCAGTGTGTTCGGGTGAGGGCTGTCAGGAAAGAAGTGGATTTTGAGCACTTTTTAAAATCTTGGTTTATTTTCTTGGCTTGGTTTGTTTGGTTCAGTTCTCTAAATTCCACTTCCTTTTAGGTTTTCTGCTTTTCCATCCATCAATCCATGAAAGTGAGACTATCTTCCCTTCCCAGAGTTCTGGGGAGAAATCATGGAAATATCTAAAATCCGTTATGGGGATCAAGCTGAGCAGGAGAGCTGGCTCTCCCAGAAAGGTAGGTTTTCACCCTGCTGTGCTGCCTTCTGGTCAAGCCAGCTGCCCTGGTTGGCCAGAGCGGTCACCCAGCCTAGGGGGACTCTACACAGAACCTTAGCCTTGGAAGCTGGGGTAGCCGAGGGCCCAGGTGTGAAGCTGAGTGACCTGGAATGTGGCCATACTCATCGTGGGCTACTTGACAGAAGCACCCCGGACCCAGCAATTCCACTTTTGGGAATCTATTGCCATGAAAGCATCGGAGATGTGCACACACATTTATGTTTAAGGATATATATTACAGAAGGGAACCCATTAACTACCTTGTAAAGAGACCCAGCAGTCCTAAAATCCGTATCATGGGAGACTCCTGACATAAGAAAGGGCATGGTATATGAGATTAAGTGAAAAGAGTAACAGGATACAAAGTGTTAGGTTATTCAGAACATCACCAACCTGAAAAACGTTTATGTGCAGAGAAGTCTAAGGAGAAAAATGGAAAGGACTCTCCCCAGCGTTAATGAAGGGGAACCCTGGATATGGGAAAGCAGACAGTTTAAAACTTTTTCTTCATCTATGTTCAGAATTTTTCACAATGGATATATGATGCTTTTGTCATAAGAAAGAAAAACAACAACAAAAAAGCCACGTGGAAAAAACATTATCAAACAGACTGTCCTTAACCCCTTCGCCTCCAGTGACTGCTGACATTGGTCTTAGCTCTGGGTAGAAATGCATTTTCTCTAAAGAAGAAGTCCAGGGTTTTCTGAGTTACTCTGCCCTGGTGCTTTCTTGAACACAATAGGGCTGAGAAAGAGTTGGGGCTTGGCTAGAGCTTGCAAGCAGATGACCTGGTGGACACTGGGACTGACCTATCGCTTGAGTGTGGTCTTGCCCAGAGGAGTGTCTGTCAGCTCCCCTGGGTCCCTCCTGACAGTCGTCCAATCCACAGGCTCGATGCAGGGTCCTCTTGGCCGACCGGGTGTGTAATCCAGACACACCAGCAAAGGCGTGTCTGTTAGGGATGCTAGGCCATCAGATGCCCCCTTGCTACCTCCTTTAGGACACATCACCCCAACTCAAGTTTTCCTAAGCCCAGGGGGCAGGGGACATCCATCAGAGTGGTCCTGGGAACTTTCTCTCCAGGCTCCTCTCTCCTGAGGCTGGGAGAGACAGGCCTGCTCATGGTTTCCCCCTGGGAGGCAGTGGCTGAAGCGGAGCACATGGTCCCAGGATGTGTTTTCAGAATCGGAGAGCAACCGGTGAGCGTGACAGGGACGGGCAGCTCCCTCAGGGGCCAGTCACGTCCGGCAGCCTTGCCAATGCGTTTCTGCCCTTTCAGCGGGGGCCCAGAGTCCCATCGGTTACCCAGTTCCCAAACTTGCAGAGAATTCAGGGGATGAATCTTGAAGGAGAGGAGGTGGTGGAGAGCAGGAGGGGTACTTACGGGCGGCCCCATGGGCCCTGGCAGTCCTGGGTGCCCCAGAGGTCCGCTCGGTCCGGGAGGGCCTGGTGGCCCTGGCGGGCCTTGGATGCCAGCCTGGCCCTGTTCACCCTGAGGGTGGTGGAGACAAGTGTCAGAGGGAGAGCCCGGGGCCGCAGAGCCGTCCCGCCCCAGTGCCATGCACCCGGTGAGGCCCCGCCGTGGGCTCTGGGGGAGGCGGCAGGGGCGTGACGTGACGGTGCGGTGGTGGTGACCGCATGCAGAGGCCAGGGGCAGTGAGGAGGTGGCCAAGACATTAGGCCTCCAGAGGAGAGGCTTCCAGAGAGGATTTGCTGTGTGAGCTGTTGGTCCCCTGGGCAGAGCCCTGCTGCGGTGGCAGAGGCGGAGGAGCGGGTGAGCGCCCCCCAGCCCAGCTGACCCCTGCTCCCAGGTGGGTCAGATGAGCAGGGTCCCGCCGAGGTGGCGGCGGCCTCAGCCTGCCTCGACCCCTCCCTGCGTGGCGAGCCCACCATCTCTGTGCCCTGGCCTCCAAGCTGTCAAATGAGAACAGCTGTTCCTTGTCCTGTCACATTTTGCTGTCTTTGATTATCTGGCCCAGAGGATCAACTGAGTCTTTAGGTCAGAGGCCACAGAATTTTGTTTAGCTCAGCAAACAACTGGGCAAGAGATTTTATGTTAAAAAAAAAAAAATATATATATATATATATATATATGGCTTGGTAGCTTCTGCTGAAAAAATGGAGCCTGGGTCAGCTAGACCCACATTCCTGGGGGCTGCCATCAGCTGGGTCTCCGGGTCCCACAGGCCCCACCCTTCCAAGCCATTCTGTGTGCAGCCTGCTTTGTCACTTGTGTGATCTGTGTCTGATCTCAGTGGATAGTTGGGTTTGCAGCCCTTTGCTTGGTTGAGTTTTGAAGGTATAAAGTGCTTCATGCCTTTCTGGAGTCATATTATTATTCTTTTTCCTTATCCTGAAGCCTTTGTCACCCCACCCTGTGCAGGTGCCCAGGGTGGACCCAGAGTCCAGGGAGGTAGGGGTGGCATCGTGTTCCCTCAGGAGGAGGAGAGAGCCTGGTCCATGTGACCCAGATCTCGGGGCTGGGGGCCAGCCCGTGTCATCCTCGATCTATGCAGACCAGTGTCATTAGGTTGCTTTCTCCATGACCTCTCCAGGGAGGTTCTGGGTTCAGCTCTTGCTGAGGGCTCCAGCCCTGCAGACAGACTCAAGTAGAACAGCCTGGGAGGTGTGAGTACTCCAGGCTGGGATGCAGGAGACCCAGGTGGCCAGACTCCAGGCCAGCCCACCCTTCTCAGTGTAATCTCAGTAATCCTTTATGACACTGTACATAGAAGGGGGGCCTGATGATGCTTGCTGCAAACCCCATACAGGAAAATGATGATTATAAATAGGAGTGCATGACCTCAGAATGGGAACTCAGATTTTAGCAGCATCTGCTTGAACCATCTCACCAATGGGATATCCTAGGACAGAGGCCACCAGCGGTGCCACTCTTGGCCTGAGCGACATCCTGCCACACCCTCTAAGAAACCACTTAAGGACTCCGAGAGTCCATGGTGGAGAAGGCAGGTGCAGAGATGGGTCACAGTCCCATTTTACAGAAGAGAAAACAGAGGCTCAGAGAAGTTGAGCACCCTGATCAAGGTCACATGGAGAATTTGGGGGGAACTGGAATCAAAACCCAGAACTCTAGACTTTTCTATTCATTCCAAATAAGCCCCCAGCAAAAACTGCTCACCATTCAGCTTTCTGCGCTTTGGCACTGACCTTGAACACCATCTGCTAAACATAACGTTTTCAACTAATGTTAAACTAGATGTTTAAGCATCTTACAGAGCCTGTGAAATCAATATTGGTTTATTGATTGGAAATGGACAAGCCTTTTTGTGTCCCACGGTGGCTGACAGCATAAAAACCTTACTCTCTAGGCAGAATCTGCAGCAGGAAAGACAGGAGCCCCTATTCTCTCTCTCAAAGCTCTGGCTTCTCCTCCTCCTGCTCTTGAAGAGGGCGGCAGCAACATGGCTCGGCCTCTGTCAGTTTGTTCTTCTGTAAGATGGCAATGATGATGCCAGTTACACTGCCTGGTGGCCCGTGTGGGATTGCATGGGATAATCCATGTAGAATTCTTACAACAGAGTTTGAAACCCAGCAAGGGCTCAACACACAGCAGTCAATGCAACTAGGGCCAGGAGGTGGGTGATGGGGGTCGAGGCAAATGGCCACTCTGAGAGCAAGGACTTAGCTCTCCTGAAACGGGGTCTGACATGGGTAGGGGTGGCTGAGAGTTGGGTGGGCCTGGTACTTCTCTGAGCTGCCAGTGGGTCCCCTGAATAACCAAGCGTTGGGTAAGCGCTCGGAGCACACGGAGGCTCTCGAGGATTTGGCTGGTGTAACGGGATATGGAGGCTTGGGTAGCACACGTGTCACGTGTCCCTCTGTATTTTTAGCCATTAATTGGACTGATCTTTCAGCCTTGTTCAATCAGATGCCTGAACATTCAGGCCCCTGGGCTCCTGAGTCAGGCCAGTTGTTGGCTCCAGGCCCTGCTTTCAGGCTTTCAGAGAGCATCTCAGAGCCCTGCCACTTCCAGCACTCCTGAGACCTTGGGAGTAACCTCTGATCCCCAGTGTGAGCAAGGCTAGAGGTGAGGGTGGGAGCCATGGAATTCCTGGCCTGGCATCAAGCCGCAATGCCTTTGCCTAGGTCCCTGGGTCTGTGGTCTCTTGTTCTTTGTTCTTTGTGATCTGGTCCTATCCCAGCCTCCTTGGCTTAGTAAGGCAGGAAGAAGGAAGCAGTTGCTCACAATGATTACACCTGTTGGTTGTGAGCTACATTTCCTCTGCAAATTCCCTTGCTTCTCAAACTCAGGTTACAAGTGATCGGATGCTTAGCAATCTGCATTTCTAAATATAAAGGGTGTAGGTCCAACTGAGAGAGCCCTGGTGTGGAGTCTGAAGACCCGACTGCCAGTTCCCACTCTGTCTCTTGCTGTTTTTTGCCACCTTGGGTACAAATTCACCTCTCTGAGCCTCAACTTAATTTCAGTGCTTAAACTCTGCCAGGAAGTATTCCCAGTGTTCTGCATACACAATAACCCTATACAGTAGGAACCATTATTATTCTCATTTTACAAATGAGCAAACAGAGGCACAGAAAGGTTAAGTAACTTGCCCCAAATTGCATAACTAGTAACAGTCGGAGAATGTGGGTGTTCTGCAGTTTACCGGCTGTGTGACCTCAGGCAACTTACTTAACGTCTCTGAGCCTGATTTGGTCATCTGTGAAACAAGGATGATCATGCCTAACTCATACAACCATTGTGAGAATTAAACGAAAACAGGCTGTAAAATGCACAGCCCGGTGACTGGCACACAGTGGAGGCTGCTGTTGTGAGCAGCAGTAGTGAGATAGTAGCTGAGGCTTCTGGGCCTGGGTGTTGTGTATTTCCACGTGTATGGCATTTGTAGGTCCGTCTTTGTCTAATTTAATGTAATGAGAGTGCAGTGAGATTCTGCTTTTGCCAACAGCCCTGGTGGCTCAGATGGTAAAGAATCTACCTGTAATGCAGGAGACCCAGGTTTGATCCCTGGGGCAGGAAGACCCCTGGAGAAGGGAATGGCAACCCACTCCAGTGTTCTTGCCTGGGAAATCCCATGCGCAGAGGAGACTGGTGGGCTACAGTCCATGGGGTCGCAAAGAGTCAGACACAACTGAGCGACTTTCACTGTCACAGCCCCAGCTGGTTCGTCAGGGTCCAGAGACTCGCCAGCCCCTGGGAAGCCCCTTGTGGTCTGGCCAAGGGAGGTGTCTACCTGGAAGGTCCGCCTTTTAATGACTGGGGGTGGAGCCAGCCGCACTGAATTGAGGAGAGGCAGCAGCTGAGGAGAAAGATGAGTTGGAAGGTCAGAGGGCAGAGGTCAAAGATCGCAGGTGTTCGGGAGGGTCGAAAGTCCGCCAGGAAGGCAGGGTGGCCGAGAGGGAGGGAGGAGAGGAAGAGAGAAGAGAGATTAGCGGGCGTGAGGCATTGGAGGGAGGGCGTGGATGGGCTGCTCGAGGCTTGTGGGTGCAGTGCTGAGCTTGCCCTTGGAAGGCACCCCATCCCTGGAAGGAGGCAAGCCCTCGGGGTGTTGGCAGCAGCACTCCCCAGTGGGGAGGGGGGCCCCCTGGCCGGGCCTCCATGGCCAAGCCGGGCCACGGAGGCCTTCTGACACACGGCCCAACATTGCACTGCCAGGCCCACAGGTCCCTGGTCGTGGACAGAGGCTGCAGGGCTGAGGGGAGCAGACTCTGAGGCTCTGACTTTGGAGCCACAGGATCAGCCTAAATTGGTACTTGAAGCCAGGCTGGTAGGCGGCCACCCCTGGGTTCTTTTTTCGGCTGGACGAGAAGGGCTGGTGTCAGCGAATCTGGGGAAGATGGTCAGCCGCAGCTCCTGGGGGCTGAACAGGAGGAGGGTGTGACCAGTGCGGGCACCAGCTAAGTGCTACTGAGGCCTCACCCTGGGGCTTGGAACATCGAGGCTGGACAAAGACGTTTTGGCATGTTCAACCACTTTTTTGGGGGAGCGGGGCAGGGAGAGGCAATCATGTTAGCTAATGCAATTTTCATTTCTGGAAGTTCTGGCTGCTTCCAGTCTTTCTATCCAGTGGAGTTGAGCGCCCCACAGCTTTAGGAAGAGGTTAGAACCCAGGTGAAAACAGAGATGGCATATAATCCACCTCTTGTTTCTGAAAGCATTGTAGCTTACACGAGGTGGCTGGGAGGAGCATTAGGAAGCAAGGGCTGCTTGGGCTGAGGATGCACCCAGCCAGGGACCTGGGAACCCAGTCACGGCCTTTCTGGGTTATTGCCACCTTCATGGGCAGCTGCCTCGCGGGGAGCCCCAGCCTTCCTACTGGGGCCTGGGGACGTGCAACATTGTGCTCTGTGTCCATGAAGCCTCTCACCAGAGGGGCCCAGAGATCTTCCAGAACCTACAAACCTTCAGAATAATTATCTGGTTGGAGCGCAGAGCTGCTAGAGAGCCACTTAGGTGCTCCTGGGGTGGGATAGGGGGTAGGGGGTAGGGGGTAGGGTTGGGGGGGAGACAGGGCAACGGCTGTGAGTGAGTGCCAGGCTCAGATACCAGATCCCACTCCCAGGGCACCCCAGACACCCACTGCCCACCCGGCCTCCCCCTCTCTCCCTGGGGATGCTGCAGGCTGGAACAGAGGCTCAGACCACCTGGATCATGTATCTCGTGGGCTCGAAGGCCTGCCACCCCCCTCAGGCCTGCAGACCCCTCAGAAAGGCAACAGACCCCCTTCCCGAGAAACACCCTGCTTTCCTACCCACTTCCAGATCAATGGAAGGTGCCAGCTGCCTTGCCCTGCCCAGCAGCTGGATCCCCACCTCCACTCTCACCCAGCCTGACTTGTTACCCACCCTGGCGCAGTCATAACCCTGGGTTTCTCTGCCGCCTGTGGCCAAGGTGTCTGGAGCTTTCCATCCCTGCCAGCTCCCTCTTCCTGGGTTGGGCTCAAGGGCAGAGCCCCTCCCTTCCCCCTACCCCCATGCTCAGAGCTAACGACACACTGCCAAAGCGGCTACAGTCGTGTTGTCTTTGCTGCTGGGGGATGCTGTCTTTCTTTCGGGTAACATAACAATCCTGTGAGCCCATCGTTTCAAATAAACACAGCTGACCTTCTATTATTGTATCGGGATCAGGCTGGCCGGAACACCAGGGCCCCTGACTCCGTGGAGCACATGCCGCCGCCAGGCTGGCTCTGTCTGCCCTGCTGCCGGCCTGCCTGCGCCCCCTACCCCAGCCGCTCACATTCAAGGCTGCACCCTGGCCCCTGCCTCTCTCTGGCCTGGGAACCAGAGGTCAGCACCTAGCAAGGCCCTCCCGGGGCCTTCTGGAGCCAAGCTGGTTGACTCCGAGTCTGACTAGTCTTTCTCTCCACTCCCTCAAGCCCCCTGCCTGGCAGGGGTGGACGGCCAGGTTGGCCACACTGCGTGTGTTGGGGGCAAAAGGAAGCCTGCGACAGGGGGATGGACACCTAAAGATGCCTGTCATCCCCATCCCCGCTGCCGGAGGGTGATCCACAAAATGAGGGGTGTCCCGGCTCACTGGGGCTCCTGCACCTTCACTGCCCCCTGCCGCACCCCCAAGAATGGCTCTCAACATTACTGCACACATAGAGGGCGCTCAGTAGGACTACAGCAGGCTTTGGGCTCCGTATCCTGCGGTGCAGCAAGGGGACGGAGGAACCAGATTGGGGCTGGGGAAGAGCAGGACACCAGCCCTGAAATCCCCACCCCACTTGGGGGGGCTTCCTTGTCTCAAAGGCTAAACAAAGACTTTACTCCTGCACTGATAGTCAGCTTCCAACTATCTCCCAGCACGCAGGTCTCAGTCATCTGAAACAATGACTAACCCAAAAGTCCCTGATTTAGCCAGGGCAGGCAGCCAGCCAGCCAGCTGGCCAGACAGACAGACAGACAGACACACAGAAATGCCGGGTAGGGAGCCAGACCCAGACTTACACAAGTTGCACAGCCTTATGTTGAAGGCCACTTGCAGAGGAGCGCACAGCCAGGGACTCAGAGCTCCAGATACACGCGGGCTGGGAGCTCCCAGGCCCAGCCAGCACAGGGGTAGATACACAGAGACACATAGCTCTGCACAAACACACACACGCTGATCACCAGGCACAACCCTGGGGGCCGGCCAGACGCACTGCCCCCATCACAGCGCTGCCCTGTCTGCTGAGTGCAGACGGTCTTTATGCGCCCGGCCCCAAGCTCTGTAGGGAAGAGGAGGCTAAGCTGGGGGCTGTGCCCCAGGGATGGATCAGTTTTTGGGGCTCACTTACCCGGTGTGGGTACTCTCCACACTGACCCTGGGGAAGAGAGGGAAGGAGAGGAGGTGTCAGACACTTGTTGGGAGGTGGACCCTGGGGGCAACCTCAGGACCCGGGGACACACCATGCACAGGCACACACGCCACCCGCCTCCGGGCTCCATCTGACTCCCTCCCTCATGCCTGCTTGGCAGCGGGGAAGAAACCCCCAGGGCCGGCCTGCATGTGGCCCCACGGAGCCAAGGGCAGGACTCTGCTACCATACATCATGTGCCGTGACGGTGGAGTCAGGGGTTATGCTCCACGCCTGGCGAGGGGTATCTTCCAGAAAGGTCCATCCTCTGGGTGGGCCCTAGACAGGAGTCCCTGGATGGGAATAGTGGACACCGAGGCAAGGGCAACGGAGTCCTTGGACGAGACTTCTTTGATTTGGGGTGCCAGGTCCCTGCACCATTCATTTGGGGGAAAGCCCAGCAGAGCCCCCATCAGAGACTCAAGGAGACAGAGCACATAGGAGGCTGGGAAGAGGGCTAAGCCAGTAGTTTACAAAACAGACCCTCTGAAATCCTAGAGCCTCATGGGAGGTGGTCAGGAAATACTATGGGGGTGGCAGGTGGGATGCGTAGAGAAAGAGGCTAAGAAGGGCCAGGCTCCAGGCTGTCCCTTTCCCTCAAGAAAAGACCCCCACCCAGGGCAGCCTCCCTTCTCTCTCATACACTGTGCCACAGTGGGTTCCCTGCTTCTGTTGATAATGACTGAAGTTTGAAAATAACCCTTGCTACCCGTTGGAAGACTGCTTCTTGAGATGAAAATTCTAGAAAATCCCCATCGGCTTACCTTTTCTCCCTTTTGTCCTTGAGGTCCCTACAAAGAGATGAAAATGAGACAGTCAGAAACTGAGGCTCAGGACTCAGGGCCCGAAGCCTCTCTGCTGGAAAGCCCTGGGGTGATACACCAACCGGCTGTCCCCAGGCACCCGCCAGACCCTGAGGGAAGGAAACGCGCACAGGTGACACAGGTGAGTGGAATAAAGAAGATGGGCAGAATTAGAGACGCAGACCTGCATGGGATTGTGCAAGAAACTTTTTGGAAGGCCTGAGTCCCAAAGGCCGGGCTTAGCCACCCATGCCTGGGCTTCCTGTGCCTGAGACAGTCCAGCTGCTGGGGCCCAGCTTCTTCATCCACCAGTGGACACTACTAGGTGTGCCCTGCTCCCCGCACTTGACTACGATGAAGAATAGGTGTCATTTTTCACTTATTCCTGCACCCGCCAGGGTCTTATGGGCTGGCCACAGAGGAGGCTGCATGAGCGGGCAGGACAGGGCTCTGCTACTGCCAGACGCCCTGCACTCTCAGGCCATCTCCTCTCGGAACCGAAAGCACATTCTAACTCCTACCCTCCGCAGCCTCAGCATCAAACCCACTGAGCCAGAAGGGCTTCTGGGGACACGGGGGCTGGGGCAGCATTCCAGACATCAGGAACTTTGGAGGAAATTTTGGCCAAAGAGATGAAGCAGGAATTTCATCTCTGTGTTCTGGGTTCCTTGGAGGAATGTAAGGGCCTCAGAGCTCCCCTCCAGGGAGTCTGATCAAAAGCTCGCAGGGCTGAGAAAGGAGTCTGGATTCCGGGTGGACCCTGGTTCTCTGAGGGGGATGCAGCGTCTGGCTGGCTCTCTCAGGGGCCTGACCTGAGGCCGCGGCTGAGGAGGCCTCAGATGTGGCTGGTGTGGAGCGGAGAGGGAGAGGGAAGGTGCCCCTTGTTTTGAGGACCCCCTCGGGGGCAGGCTTTGGGACATGCTGAGCTCACGCCCACGCTGGCCCAAGAGGAAGGCGCTGGCGTCGCTCCTTCTCCTGGAAGAGGTGATGGAGACGAGGTCCTGTGGTCCCAGTGAGCTGGGACCAGGAAGGTCCAGCTGCGTCCACTCTGCTGCGAGCTCTGAACTGAGCTGGGCCCTGGGGGGCAGGGCTTCTGAACTTGGCTGGAGTCACAGGCAGTGCCCCACCCCCTGGGGCTCTGAGGCCCCTTCCAGCCACCATCCTGAGGGCCTGTGAGGGCCCGTCTGCCAGGCTAGTCTCTGTAGGGCTTGGAGACCTCAGGATCCCCATGGACAGATCCATCTGGGTGGGTGAAAGGCCTCCTTTTGTCCCTGACTTGCTAACTGGGCCAATTACCAAACCGGGAGTTTCCCAGGAGGTTTGTGGGAAGGGACAAGTGGTCTCTGGGACAAACCATGTGGTATCCAAGCCCATGCAGTTGACCAAGTGTTTAGTATCAAATTCAATAGACTATGATGCATCTGCAGGGGAGTGAACTACAGGGGACCAGGCCACCTTCCCTGGGGACAGAGAGAGGAGTGCGATGAGAGATGGAGGTCCAGGGGCCCAGCAAAATAACCCGAAGCTTTGGGACTGCAGAGACATGGAGGACGGAGTCTGGATACCACAAATGGTGGCCCATGGGACAATCACGGTCTCTGGGGATATTCTGCTGAGCCCACACACTTTTATTTCAATTAACTACCAATACTGAAGCACACAGAGAGTACAACAAAAATCTGAATTTCGAGTTTAAGTATTTCAAGGTCCAGCAACACTTGGCACCAACGAGCTCTTGAAACTGCCCCTTTAGGGCAGGTTGGGGTCAGGGCAGTGTGCTACCCGTGGTGTTTCCACTGGGCCAGGCACTGTTTGAAACACTTGATGTGAATTAGCTCCTCCCACCTTACGACAGCCCTATGAGTGGTGGGACAAGATGTGAATTCGGAGTCCTGCTTCTCCCTAACATGACTGGTGGGACCCTGATCCTGTCTACACCTTACATCAGGTGCTCGGGGCTACTGGGAGGCTGGTGGGGCAGAGGTGACCCCCTTTGGACAGGTGAGGACAAAGGTTAAGCAGGTGAGGGTAAGCCCCAGCCCTCAAGCTGAAAGCCTGGCAGACGGTAAACCATCCTGAAGGGAGGAGAGTGGGAGATGGATGGCTGATAAGCAGGCAAGATAATGACACTAGATGGCATGTGGGATTAATAGCTCGGGGTCCCTGTGCCAAGCCAAACAGGAGCCTAGTAGCTCTGTGGCCTGTTGGGTTTTGATGGATGACTGTGAGGCAGACACCGATGTGGGTTCATGGTAGAAGAGATGGCCTCACCCTTCCCCCCCTTAAATTTGTTCTGACTCCAGAACAGACTGGGAAGATTCATGGGTAGTTAACTGGGGTGGGGCAGAAGGATGGCAGGAGAGAAGCCCCTTAGAAGGGTCCTTTTCTTTCTAAACAAAGGGCTCTGGTAGCAAAAGGAGGCATGGTGGAGGGTAAGATCCTACCATGTGGGTCTCAATCCAATTCTGTTACTTACGAGCTGTGTAGCCTTGAGCACTATACTCAACCACTTTGAGCCTCTATCTCCCCTTCTGTAGAGTGGAGGATGATAAGCTGTTATGAGGATTAGGGAGCAGTGCCTGGCTGATGACCATCATTATTACTTCTGGGGTTGCATGGACTGTGTTAAGGCTCCACAGAAGGTGGGAAGGAGCAGGAGGAAGGTGGGGACAGTGGTGTGTCTCTCCAGGTCAGCTCTCTGCCTGGCTGGGGCAGGAGCACCTGGAGCCCTGGGCAGCCCAGAGCAGGGAACACTAGGAAGTCAGGCTCAGGGCTTCCCTGGTGGCTCAGTGGTAAAGAATCTGCCTGCCCATGCAGGAGACATGGGTTTGATCCCTGATCCTGGAGGAGCTCACGTGCTGTGGAGCGACTAAGCCCATGTGCTACAACTATTAAGCCTGTGCTCTAGAGCCCAGGAGCTGCAAGTACTGAGCTCACAGGCAGCAACTGCAGAAGCCTGTGAGCCCTAGAGCCCACACTCGGCAACAAGAGAAGCCTCACTGAGAAGCCCTCACACCGCAACTAGAGAGTAGTCCCAGCTTGCCACAGTTAGAGAAAAGCCTGTTCAGCAACGAAGACTCAGCACAGCCAAAAATAAATAGATAAAATTATTTTTTAAAAAAGAAAATGAGGCTCAGGATGTAGTGCTGGATGAACACCCCTTGCTCCCAGTGTGAGTCCTGAGTATGAGTGATGGTTTGGGGGTGCTAGCTGCCAGTTCTGTGTGACACTGGCCAAGCAAGGATGCTCTCTGGACCTCTCTCTCCTCATTCTTCAGGTGGAGAAGCCCCCTGCCCACCTCTCCTTCCTGTGCCGAATAAGTGGGATGCGTGGCACCCAGCTGGGGAGTGACCCTGGGGCAGACACTCCCTCGGCTGGGTAGGGTTTGTTAGCCCAGGAGGGCCCTTGAGAGAAGGCTTAGGGTTAGGGTGAGCTGGTCTTACCATCTCCCCCTTTGGTCCTGGCCGGCCCTGGAAGGAGAAGAGCAAGTGAGTTGTTTGCAATCAGGACCCCCTCCCCCACAGCTGCCCCTCTCATGACCACCTGTGTCTGTGGCCACGTCAAAGGGGTTGAAGTGAACAGAGAGGGGCTCTGGACGGGCAGCAGCCTCCCCGTGGACTTGGGCGTGTGGGGGGGCTCAACCAGGATGGGAGACCCTGAGGAGAACACAGGAGGCACCCTGAGGTGCTGGGGTGGATGTTCAGGGGGCGAGGGAGTGAGCTAGAGCCTGGGCTCCTTTCACAATAGCAGGTCAAGCTCTCCAGCCCTCTTCTCTCCTCGCCTCACTCCCCTCCAGCTCCTTCAGGAGGCCCGGAATCAGCAAATTCTAGAATGCATGTTGCTCCAGATGCTGAGGGCACAGCTTGGCCGTGGACTTGTACCCACGGGGGTTGGGGCAACTCATTCTAACGGCCCCTCCTCCCCTTCCCACTGGCAATGACTTTACACCCCAAGAAGACTCATTTTTATTTAAAGCGCCTTCTAAGGAGTCAGGGTCTCACAGAAGGACTAAAAGACCCCAGGCTAGTGATCTGGACTAAGCAAGGGCGAGGCGCTCACAGTGTGAAAGGGGCCACTCACCGGTTTGCCGTCGAGCCCAATGGGACCCTGAAAGATAAACAGGCCAGATGTGAAGACTGCATCACAGGTGTTCTGGCAGACAGGCAGCCTGGGGGTGGTTAAGGACACAGGCTCTGGACTCTAACAAGGTAGGGTTCATGTCTCTGCTTCACCACTGGCTGTTATGAGACCATGGGTAAGCCTTGGCTTCCCATTCCAAAATGGGGAATAAAATAATCTCCGACGTGGGGTCTTTGTGAAGAGTAAATGAAATGCCACCTGCCCCATGCACAGCACCTGATGGGTGGCAGTCACCTTGGTACCAAAGTCCTTCTCACCCCAGAGGAGAGTGGATGGCATGGTCCTGGATAGCAGGGCCGGCCAGTACTGAGGCCTGCAGGAAAGGCCTGCCTCCTATCCTGCTCTCAGAATCTGTCTTAGGGCTTACGAGGGGCTCCCCGGACATCCAGATGGCCAGCTGACTGCCCCACACCACAGGCGGATTGACCCTCAAAGCAAGGTTGGAGGTGGCTTCCCTGAGATGCATCATCTTCCCCAGAGTCCATGGGCCAGCCAGGCTTCCTAGCCTGTGACCTCGCAGCCTGTCTGGCCTGACACGCCTCTGGTTCCATGTTGATGTCCCTGTCCTTCTCTGCACTGTGAGTCGAGCACCAGGCTACTCTCCCTAGTGGCTTTCCGTGAAAGCCAGCGGAGGGGGTCCTTGCTGATGGGGGTTCAGTAGTGCACATTCAGCTTGAGCACCAGCCCTGCCTGAAGTTTATCACCAAGCCAGGACCAAGGGTCTCGGCAGATACAACTCACCAGTCCTCTCCACTTACCGGAAATCCTGGAAAACCTCGGGTGCCTGGCTGACCCTGAAAAGAGTGGGAGAGGAGTGAGGATGGGCGAGGAGGTGAGGAAGCCAAACCTTAGTCCCTGGTTCACCTGGGCTCCCAGAGGGTCCATGGCTTCCCTCCCACTCCACTATGATCGTCTCTGGGACACACAGCCTGGGAGGCAGGATGGGGAAAGATGGACATGGACCCTCATAGGAAATCTCCTCCAGGGACTAAGGGTGGGAAAGGGGAAAGCAGGTGGTCAGCCTCCTCGGGTCTTTCTGGGAAGTAGCTCCCTGAGCTCCTCACTGCCTGCCTAGATGCTCTGAACCCCTGTGTGGGAATGGGAGGGGGAGCAAGGACACTGGGGACTCAGTCTACAGCACACTGAACTCCTTGACTGTGATAGTCCAAGTCCTCTTCATTTACAGTTAGTGCTTGTGGCCACATATCTAAGGATGGTTTGGATATCAGAACTGACCTTCAGAATGTGTTTTCAGGACAGAACAGGTCAGGTTGTCCACTGTCCAGTGTCCCTTCACCCTGGCTAATGGGGCTCTCCTGGTTGGACAATCTCTGGATTCCCCCTCCCCATCTTTGTGGGATGCAGAGCCATCATGCCCATTTCCCCAGGGGTGCAGAGTACATAGATTGGTATTCAGGTTGGAAATTTGAGGCAGGTTCATTGGCCACAGTCCAGAGGTTTATGATCCAGATTCAGGACAAAGGAGAAGAGTGGAGGTGTTAATAAACCTGAGGCTGTGCAGATCCAGGGCTGCGGTGGTGACCAGGAGGTCCAAGGTGATAGAGAGTTGAGAAACCTAGATCCCATCACTCCCCTTCTGAAGAACTAGGCAGGGTTCTCTTCAAGGTCAGCCTCAATCTCATTCCGATGCACCATTTTAGCTCCTTTCCTGCCTCACCTTCCCACCTACTCTACCCAGGCGCCCTGGCTGACCTGCCTGTCCCTGGACACACCACATCCTTCACATGACTAACTCTAAGCTTGGAGTCTCCCCTTGGCTGAGCTGGCCTCAGTCTCTTCCCAAGTCTGGGGTTTTGAGTCAGGCAGACTGAGTTTTAATCCTGTCTCCTCCACCACTGAGGGCGGTGTGATTCAGAGCAAGCCGCTTATCTTCCCCGTGCCTCAGTTTCCTCATCTATAGAATGGCTATATAGAATAGTTACATAAATAGCTTTTATAGAGTTTCCTCATCTATAGAATAGCTATATAAACTCACAGGGTCATTCAACTATATCTTCAGAGCCTATTGAGATAGTAGCTGCCATCATCATGGTAAACTGAACTGAAATTTGTTAAACTGAACTGAACCTAGGGGCACCAGACACAGTAAGGTTGTTTTTGATCTGATATGTCTCAGGGTCAATGGAGGGTTGTCCTTGCTAAGCAGTAGTTTCAAATCAGACCCTATGTCTTGAGAAGGATTTCTTTGGGTCCATCTGCTGTAAACATGAAACCTCTCCGGGTTGCTTGGGTCCTCCTTGAATCTGTAGACTTGAGTGTCCAGTGGCCTCTGCTCAAGGGGACATGCTCAGGGCACAAGGCTGGGTGGGACCAGGTCCCTGCAGGCAGAGTCCATGCACTGGTCAGGCCGCCGGTAGCACACTGGAGCATGCTGCAGGCCTGGGAGGGGCTTGTGGAAAGCATCCAAAAGGGCAAGAGGGTGGAGATACCACTCATGTAGCAGAAGGGCCCAGGCTTCTCTCCTCTCAAGGATAAGTGATGCTAAGAATAGCACAAAGGAGAAAACCCGGAAACCTCCCAGTGTAAACTTTCAGTTATGCTGAACACTGAGAGGCCTGAAGAAAAGGTCAGGAGGAAAGGATTCCAAGAAACATCTTCAGTCCCGCTCTGGATAATATTTACATGGTGGGGATAATCACATGGTTTGCTAATTACAGAGCTGTCCCTGGTAGCAGGGTGCGTCTCTTCAACCCAGAGCCAAGTCTTGGGCTAACCAAGGCTTTTTCAGGAGATCTTGGGAAGGATGTTGTCATTGACCAACTGGAAACTGGGTCTCCACTTCCTTGAGAGGTTGGGTATTGGTGAGGCACATGGAGAGGCTTGAAACTGGATTTTAATTTCTCTCTCTTCACATCTATGCCGAAAGTGGACAGCTCTTCCAATGGTTATTGACTGACTGTATTTATTTGGGAACTGCCTGTGTGCATTCTTTACCAGTAACTCCTACTGCACTGTTTATCTTTTTCCTACTGATTTGAGTAAAGCTCTTTGACAAGAATAGTAACTGAGAGTCATATGTGTTGCAAATATTCTTTCCAATTTGGCATTTTGTCTTTTTTATGGTATACTTTCTGTCATATGGAAACTCTACATTTATGTCAACAAATGTATCAATATTTTCCTATGGCTTCTGGGTTTTAGGTCATGTTTTGAAAGACATTCCTCAGTTCAGAAATATAAATGTTTGCTCATGCTTTGTTCTCTAATTTTATGGTTGCATATTTTATATCTAAGTATTCGTTCATTTGAAATTTATTCTGATTTCTAAACTGTTTGTAGTTGTCTCAGCATCATTTTCTGAACAATCTATCTTCTTTTTCTATTGGGAAGTGAAGTCTTTATCGGGGACCAAATTTCAAGATGCATTTAGCTTTATTTCTGTTCTGTTTGTTCTTTTAATTGCTCTGTTTCTACAATATGTTTTACTATCTAGTAGAAGAACTACACCTCTCCTTCCTATGCCCCTTTCTCTATTTTTCAAAAAGTTTCTGAAACTCTTACAAGATTTTTTTCCAAACGAAATTGAAGATTGTTTCGTTGAACTCCTAACCGCCCACCCCCCAATTCACTGGTATTAGAATCATGTTAAAATTGTGGATGATAGATTTATATGTAGATTAATTTGCTGATTAATATTATGTCCTTCTATACAAGAACAAGGGCTTCCCTGGTGGATCAGATAGTAAAGAATCTGCCTGCAATGCTGGAGACCTGGGTTCGATCCTTGGGTCAGGAAGATCCCCTGGAAAAGGAAATGACAACCCGCTCTAGTATTCTTGCCTGGGAAATGCCATGGACAGAGAAGCCTTGCAAGCTACAGTCCACGAGGTTGCAAAAGAGTGGACACATCTTAGGGACTAAACAACAATATAAGAACAAGGGAAACAAACTTTACATTGCTTTCTAAAATCTCTTCCCTTAATTCAAGGCCAGGGAAGAGAGGGAGCCAGATGGACCCCTATGTCTTCTTCTCCCTTCCTTTCTCCTGCCTGTATGTATGTAGGGTAAAGCAACATGGACAAACCAAAGTTTCTGGCTGGAGAGAAACTTCCCTCTTGGCTGACCTCTCAAAGACGGTCAGTCACGGATCTGTTCAGAGCCTGCCTCAATCCACCTCCCCCACCCCAAGTCAGAGCTGACTATCTTTTCAACAGGACTCTGTGCTAGTAAACACGCTGGGGAGAGGAGGGAAGAGAGCCTTGCTTTGTGCAGCATTTGCCGATTTCTGGAAATCTGTGATTCTGTAAATACTCCCATCACAGCCCATTTTAAGCCTCCCAGCCAGCCCCGCACCTGCAGCCTCTTCTAAACATGCTCAGTGCTGCAGCAGGAAGGATCAGGGGAGCTCTGTAAACCGCAAGTCTGGTCATGTCCCCCCTTAGCAGAACATAACCGAACGGATAAAGCCCCAACTCCTGGACATCATGTCCTTCACAATTGGGGCCTCGCCCACCCCGACAACCTCCTTCTCACCATCCTTGCTCTTGCTTTGTTCTAGAAGAAACTTTCCTGGACATGCCTGGTGGTCCAGTGGTTAAGAACCCACCTTACAATGCAGGGGACTTGGTTTCAGTGCTTTGTTGGGGAACTAAGAATCCACATGCCATGGAGCAACTAAGCCTGCATGCTGCAACTACTGAGCCCACGGGCCCCAGTTACAGTCTGTGTGGTGCAATGAAAGACTCTGGCGCAGCAAAGACTCGGCGCAGCAAAGACTCGACACAGCCAAATAAATAAATAATTTTTTTAAAAGAACTTTGCCCATTTCTCCAGTAGTTTACAGGAATTGTACCTGCCTTGAAAGTTCTACTCCTCCTTGATCACAGTTTAGTTACCTCTTCCTCCTGGAAGTCCTTCCTGCCTGCTTTCACCCCAGGTCAGGTGCCTCTCTCTGTGTCCCTAATTGTCCCCAGCTAAGCACCGACCACCTGGACTATAATCACCATAGGGTGGTTTCTCTCTGCAAAAGGGTAAGTGGGCTGCAGTCAGGTTTTCATCGTCTACACGGGATCTAGGATGCAGTAGGTGCCTGACAAATATTAATGGAATGAATAAATGAAGACACATCCAGCAGGTGTATCAACCTGGTTGTAGGGTGTCTCCTTGAGAGTGAGGGCTGGAACTTTAGAGGGCTCTTCCTTGCCTCTGAAGAAAAGCTAGGGGCTCTAGAAGGAACAAGCTCCCTTTGAGGCGGTGGGCTTTCCTAACCTGGCTAATGACCTTTCCAGTACCTGTGGGGCCAGCCAGCGTCTCAGGGTCCCAGCTTCCAGCTCAACTTAATGGGGCCCACTGTTCCGGCATCTTGAACCATCCTTCACCAAAATGCATGGAGGTCCCCTCTTTGCAAAGACCATTTCTAAAGCTCCAAGAGAGGAGGCAGGTGAACCTTAGAGCAGCAAGGCTGGTTCTCATTAGCAGTGTATATTTGAGACCCTTCCTGGCTGAGTGGAAAGCCATATGTTCCCCATCATCCCCGGTCACAGAGGGCTTGCCCACTTGACCTCTGCCCCTTGACTGCATTGGTCCCTTGGTCTTCTGGGGTCCCGAACTCTCACTAGCTCCAGGGGCCTTGCTGGGAGGAGATGCAGGGGCTGCCCTGGTGTCTAGTGAGGACTCAGCGGGGGTGGGCCCCGCCATCTGTGATGGTCACACACACAGGCCAAAGTCAGAGGGCCCTGGGCTTGGTTAAGCCTTCTGGTGCCATAAAGCCTCTCTTAGCACCAACCCAGCACTCACGGGGAGGGCTTTTTCCTCAAGGTAAATATCCTTCTTTTTTTTTTTTTTTATATAAATATCCTTCTTAAACAGTTGAACTTAAGACATGAAAGGGGGTGTTGGGGAAACGATGCTGGCATTGGAATGAGACCGACTGGGCCCAAACCAAGCTCCAGCACTGAGGAGCCAGGTGACCACAGGCCAGCTAAGCACCTTTCTTTCCCTCTCTCCAGCACTGAGGAGCCAGGTGACCCCAGGCCAGCTAAGCACCTTTCTTTCCCTCTCTGGGAAATGGGCTGGCAGGGCCTGCCTCACAGTTTCCGTGGGGGCTGAAGGAGACCAGGACACTCATGGTCTTTCAGTTTAGGACCCAGCATGTCTCTGGGTGTCTATGAGAGGGAAGCAGCCGCTATTACCAGAAATAGAAAGTACTTCTCACCCCTGGAACCAAGTCCAGCGTGGTGGTTATATTTATGCACGCTGAGCCAGAGCAGGGTGGAAGGTGGGGGGGGGGGTGCAGATAAAGCAGACCCTGCCCTCTGACTGTATTCTCTGGACATGGGGTCTTTTCAACCACCTCTACGTAGCCTGCTGAAAGCTGCAGCTAAGAGGGTGTGACAGGACCAGCCTGATCCACACAAACAGAGTGTCGTGTCAGATGGGGAGGCAGGCAGAGATGGTGGCCAAGGGGTAGGGCCCATACTCTGCGTTACTCCCCTATTCTCCCAACAGGTCCACCCCAGGCTTGGTCCTTGCCTTTGGAACCTACGGCACTGTCTTTCTCTGTGACTTTCCCATCTCCTGACTTGCCCTCCAGCTGCATACTGCCTTTGTTGGGAATACCCAATACATGAGGGGGCTTATAGTCCATTGTGAGAGTGGCCACATGAGCCCAGAAGCACACATGATGGGAACTCTGTGGCCGGATGGTCTGCTTCAGCAGCAGAGGGCAGGGGGCAGACTCTGAGCACACAGCCTGGCTGAGTGTCATATCCTAGCAAGGCCCCACTCATGTGTATGAGTGCAAGTCACTCAACTTCTCTGGGCCTCAATTTTCTCATCTATAAAATGGGTGTGCTCATAGTACCTCCCTGTGAGGTTCTCATAAGGGTTAAGCGAGCTGCTATGTGTAACGGTTTCAGGATCCTGCCTGCCATAGAGTAAGTGCAAAGTGTCAGTCTTTAGCACTATTGTGTGGTCTGAGCCATGGAAACCTGTTGAAAGGCCTGTCTGTGCAGCCCAGGACCTTAAATCCCTGCCTCCAGCCCAGGCCCCCGACCAGCCAGCCCTGCCAGCCCCACTCTATCCTTTGGCTCCCCCTGCTAAAATTCCTGGGCTCCCCCACTCTGCTCCCTGCTCTCACTATAGCCCCTCCCTGACTGCACAGCCACAAGGGTCCCCTCCCTTGGACAGAGCTTAGCAATTTGCTCTCTGACCCCTCTCCTTAGTCTGTGGGTAGGAGACTCCTGCTTGCCATTGAACACAGGGGGAAAAGTTAGAGGGCTTCATCCACCCACTGGGTGAGGCTCTGGGGAATCTGAGGCTAGGCCTCCGCATCCCTTCCCCCCTCCCATGCATGGTCAGTCAGCAAAAGAGCCCAGCGGAGCATAGAGACCGCAGCCCGTTGCTATGGGGGAAGCCCTGGGGCCAGGGGTCCTGGGTTCTAATCCTTCTCTACCTGCAGGATCCCGGCCAAGCCCCTTCCCCTCCCTGTGCCTCAGTTTCCCCTTCTGAGAGGTCCCTTCTGCTCTGACAATTGGAGATTTGATTGAAGCCCCGTGGGCCAGACACTCTTTGAGAAAAACAGTCAGTCCTCCTTCCCACAGTCACGGTATCTTCCCGCAGCATCACCCAAGCCCCCCTTTTGGTCCCTAAGGAACTGTCCTGGAGGGGAAGCCTCTCTCAATTTTCCCAAGCCCCTGGCCACTGGGCAGAGGGTACTGGGACCCAGCACCGAGCACAAAAAAGAGCTTTTGTGGGCGAGTGATGGGCAGGCTTTGCCAAGACCAGGAGTGGGAGCTTGGGTCAGGAAATCAGGCCTCTGGGGTAGCTGCTCCCTGGGCTTCTGAAACAAGGCTTGTCCCCTGGAAAGCTGGAGCACCAGGCCTCCCCACCCCAAGCAGAGCCAGCACTTCCTCCCTCTGCCTGTAAACAGCAGGGCCGCCTCACAGCTGTTGTCATTTCGTGGCTAGAGGGTCGGCTCTCAACCTTCCCAAGAGGGTGTAACTGAGGCAGATTTAGGCTACTTTCTTTAACATCGACAGCAGCACTGAGGCCTGGCCGGGCTGACCACATCCCATATGGTGGGCATCACACCCAGAGGCATAGCCAGGACTTGCGTACCCCGCTCCCCACTCAGCCCTTCTCATTAACTCACCCATCCATCCATCCCAAAGAAGGGCAAAAACCACTTACAGGGGGGCCGCGGGGACCAATGATGGACATGCCGGCATCTCCTGGGGCACCCTGTCGGGGAGAGAAAGAGGGAGGAGGGGGAGAGGGAGGGGAGGGGAGGAGGGAGGAGCAGAAGGGAGAAGCTGGCAGGTGGGGAAGGCAGAGAGGGCGAGGGGGGACCCCAAGACCCAGAGACCACAGGATGATGGGGCAGAAAATGTGGAGGAAGATGAAGGGCTCACAGGAGAGGTGATGAGAAGAGGATGAACGAAACATTCCAGAAGGATCAAGAAGGGCAGTGCGGAAGCAGGAGGAAAGGGGAGAAGAGACACGAGTGAGAGCACATGATCAGGGACCAGAGAAAGAGGGCGGTGGGCCCCCAGGCCGGGAAGCGGGGAGAAGAGGATGTCGAGCGGTGATGGGAAGAGGGAGATGCAGGGGGTGGGGGAGAGAGGGAGGAGGGAGACTCAGCTCAGCGACGGCTGCTCAGGCCCTAGAGGCGTCCCCATAGGGCTCGGCTCAGGATGCTCCCCAGCCTGCCCCAGCCCCAGCCAAATCTCACACTCCCGAGTCTCCTTCCCCAGGCCCCAGTGCCCACGCGGCTGCACCCCGTGACTGCCAGATAGCAGCCCCCTGGATGGAGCTGCTGTAAACGAGACACACACTTGCCGTGAGGGCCCAGCAGGCCTGAGCCCGGAGGTTAGGGCTGCCTTGGACTCCTAGTCCCGGTGTGGAGTCACACAGAGGGGTCAAGCCTGCGGCAGAGTTTTCAGCCCAGAGAGGACGGTGGATGCTGGGCTGGGGGCTCGAAGTGCCATGTGGTCCAGCTGCCTCGATAAGCTTGTGTGTGTGTGTGTGTGTGTGTGTGCTGGAGCTTGGGGAAGTGTGACAGGGGAGGGTAAAAGGTGTATGAACACAGGCGGGGGTGAGAGGTGATGGTCTGGCAGAAGGATCCTGACGGTGCCCCGCTGGAGGACAGTAGGATGCTACTTCCCTCCAGGAGTCCAGGAAATGCCCAGGCCTCAACTGCAGGCCTTGCTCTGCCTCACGGAACCTCTCAGCCCACATATCTCCTCTGTGAACAGGATGCTGAGAGAAACTCTGCTGACCTTACAGGGCAAGGGATGGAAATGCATTTGTAAAATGTCATGCCTCACATGCAGGTGAAGAGTGAATTCAAATTAGTAGCTGTTTATTCCATTGCAATTATATAATAATTTTCATACAAGGCAACATAGTGTGATGGGTAGGAGCCAGAATGCTTGGGTTTGAAGCCCAGCTCTGCTCCATGCTGGCTGACCTTGGGCTACTTAAGTTCTCTCTGCCTCAGTTTCCTTACCTGTAATGCAGAGATAATAGCGCCTGTCTCATAGGGTGGATGTGAAAATCTCATGAGATAATGGTGTAAAATGCTTAAAAGAATGCCTGGTCTCCGAAGGGGCTAACAAGTGTCTGCTATTGTCCTTATACTGTGATCCTGCCCCCTGTCTTTCTCCTGGGTGGTTTAGCCATCTGTGAGGGTGAGACCCAGCCTTCGTTATACTTGGAGGACAGTATAGGACAGTGGTTAGGGACCTGAGTCCAACTTAGAGTCAGGTATCCTGGGAATCCTCTCCAGCTCTGTCACTTTTAAGATATTTTTTTAATTTTTTAATTGTTCAGCCATGCCCTGAGGCCTGTGGGATCTTAGGCCCCCTGAAGTGGAAGCACCAAGTCTTAACCCCTGGACGGCCAGGGCTGTCACTTTCTGCTGTGTGACTCTGGGTATGTGACCCTGTCTCTCTGTGCTCCAGTTCCCTCTCATGTAAATGAGACGACCAAGCCTCCCTGGGAGGGCCACATCACTGTTACCTGGGATGTTACTGTTACAGAGTAAACCACTTAAAACAGTGCCTAACAGTTTGTGCGTAATACACGGTTGTTGCTGTCGTTACGGTTGTCATTTTTATTTCGGAGATAGGGAGGCTTGCAGAAATACACACTGTGGTGTCCAGGCGAGGAAGTGTGGAGCTGGGACCAGGAGTCTGCTTCTAGCTCTCTGGTCATCCCTAATCCTGTGGGACCTCGGGCAAGCCCCACACCCACTCTGGGCCTCATCTTGAGAGCCAGCTGGTTAGCTGCACTGCTCTATAATCCCTCAGAGCCCACCCAGTTCCAGGACAGGACTGTCTCTTCGGCCTCTCGCTTCCTGGGAGACTCCTCTCTATCACCCCCGGAGTCTGCCTGGGTGTTTGCCAGGGAACTCTCTCGGGGGCAGCACAAAGAGAGTGTCCAGGTCTGAGGGGGCAGTGGTGGGCTGCAGGTGGGGGCAGAACCAGCCGCATACAACGGCAGCTGGTGCTCCCCTCACCTCTGGGAAGGGTGACTGTCTAAGGCCAAAATCAGAGCCAGGAGGCCACGTGCGGCCCCCACGGGCTGCAGAGACCCCTCAGCCAGGGAAGTGGGACCTCAGCCCACGACTCCTGCCTGATGGGGTGGAGGCTGTTAGGAGACCCGGCCGTGACAGGCTGCGAGGGCAGAGCAGGCCAGGCTGGCATCCTCCACTGGGGCCTGTGCACCAGGAGCGGGGCTGGAATGGGGGGCTTCTGAAAGCCCCCACAAGAGTCCAGGGGGTGGAGGTGCCGGTGCAGAGGGGAAAGTGTGGACTCACCTTCTCGCCTGGTTGGCCCTTTCCTCCCTGGGGCGATCACATGCAACATGGGGTGCAGGGAAGAGAGAGGGAGGGAGGGAGAGAAAAAAGAAAGGATGAGAAGGAGACACACGCACAAGAAGTCGTGTTAATGGCATGACAACCAAACACAAGAAATCACCGTGAAATAAGAAACAAAATGCAGACGCTGACACTCGACAGGTCCTGAGTCTGGCAAGCATAGCTCGTGGCTGGCTGTTGTCTCAGCCCAAAGGCTGGCCCCAGCCAGATAATGAAGAAGGAAGTAGTGGCAGGGGCCGTAAGTGGTCCTCTTGACGTGTGTGTGTGTGTGTGTGTGTGTGTGTGTGAGTGAGTGACAGACAGAGAGAGACAGAAAGATGGAGAGCCCACCCAGGCCAGAAACATGTCTGAGGAGCCGTGGCCCCAGCAGCCTGGGTCATCTGAGGAGGGAGTGGCATGGGAGAGACTTTCTCAAGGACTGTAAGGTGAGGTGGAGTCTAGTTCTTTTGAAGGTCTAGCTGAACACCAAGCACAAAATTGCCAAGCTAAATGCGACAGGAGTCATTAGGGGTGGCCAGGCAAGATGCGAAGAGGAGCACAGACAGAAGGACACACATCTGGGAAGACGGAGGATGCATCCGGGATGCAGAGGGAAGTGGGTCATGGCCAAGGACCCCTGGACCCAGGGTGACCAATCCACCCTCATTCATAGCAGCCAGGGGCGCCACCTTTGGTGAATCACGAGAACATCTCAGGCATATCACACCCACTGGCCACCCCAGTACTTATCAGGTGGCCCATGCCAGGACGCCTACTGAGCAGCCAAATGGGTCCATTGTCACATTTAAAACAGCACAAGCAGCATAAAAGCACCAAGGCGGTTTGAAAATAGCTTTGTGTAGAAGGAAATGGGGAGACCTCCTGTCGTTCTCTCTCCTGCCGCACTGCCCCCCCTGCACTGTGGTCAGAACAAGGCTTGGATGGACATTTCCTGGGGGGAATCATCCATAGGGCCCAAGAAGGAGGGCATGAGGGGCAGGCCTGGAGAGGCAGCTTTGCACTCTGCAGGCTTCCCTGCTGGCTGGTGGCTGCATGCAGGGTAGAGACTCCTGAAGCTTACCTGTCAGGAGCAAGGACTTGGGTGTCTTGGGTACCAGACCCAACTCCACCCCAATCCTGGGTAAACTGAGTCTCAATGTGCTCATAAACAGACAGGCTCTCAGAGGGCTGTGGTGGAGAATGAACCTGGCCCAGGCTTTCCCAAAGTGAGCCCCTGAGAAAGGCTGGCTGAATGTCATCCCCCTACTCCACACAGGACCCACTGAAAGCCTGGGGGACTCAGGGTTTGGAGTTAGAGAACTGACGCCTACAGAAAGGGTCAGGCAGGAATGCCACAGTGCTGTGATCTGGGAAGTGGTGGGAGAACCGCACAACGGGGAGACCCAGGGCTCCCAGTCTCCCTGTCTTGACGGTTCTTGGGTGGCCCAAGGGAGCTCAAAGCTCTGCGACATTGTCCTGAAGCTCTGGAATGTCCTAGAACATGGACATGGCTTAGAACATGGCTTCACTCTAAGGATCAGACCCTCCTTAGAGCTGTGATGCCCATGGAGGGAATTTGGGAGGTGGGAGGCAGGATTCCATTATTAGGGTCAAGAGCACAAATCTAGAGTCAGGTTGCCTGGATTAAAGTCACTGATAAGCCACTTCCTGGACCTGTGCCCTTGGGACAGACAATTAACATCTGAGCTTCGGTTTTCTCATCTGAGCGATGGGGGTGGACAGCGTGCCTGCCTCATGTAGTTCTTGGGAAGACCAAATGAGCTGATGCGTGGAAGGCCCTGAGCACAAGAGGCAGCACTTTCAAGTGTTAGCTGTAATCTAGTGGCTTTGAGCACTAGGCTCACACCGGGCCAGCCTATGCACACAGGATGCCTGACCCAGGCTTAAGGCCAACCCAGGCCAAGAGGTGATGTGAACAAGGTAAAAGCATGTGCGTGACATGGAAAGATGGCACGGGGTTGGTCAGGGGCACTGGAAACCAGGGTGAAGGTTGAGGCAGGCTGTTGGTGGGGAGTCAGAGGTCAGTCGGGGAGAGTAGCTTGGGCCATGTCCTAGACTTGGGGGGTGGGGGTGTGGTTATTGCCTTAGGCGGCCACCAGGTGCTGCCTTTCCAAGCCCTAGGAAAAACCCTGGTGCTGGGCCCTCAAAGCCTAGCGCTAATCTTCCCATTTGTGACACAAGCTCCCTATCAAATCTTCTGTTTCACCATCTTATTTTTTCAGCAGGAAACGAAGGTTTTAACCCCCACCTTCCTGGTGAGGATTGGAGGCACTGCCTGGAAGGAAGCCCTGTCTTCATCACTAGCCTCTGTCTGGGGAAGATGCCTCCAGATGCTGGTTACACTGTAGTTTCTGTAGGACACTTTCTGTTTGCGTTTCCTGCCATCTTTCACTGCTCTTGCTGGAGGATGGTTGCAGGAACAGCTATAAATCTGAGGTGTCTGCCAGTCTCGGGGGGTGGGGGTGGGGGTTAGGAGGTAGAGTGGATGGGAGTCCTCAGTAGTGATTGGCAAAGAGCCAATTCGTGCCATTTTTGGATTTTTCCTTTGCCATGGCAGTTCACTGGAGAGTTAAAGCCATTTTGCAAGATCTGAAGGATTGGAATAAACCATTCCCCTCCTCCTTGAGTGTCCTTTCTGCAGCAGCCTTGGGCGGGGAGAAGCGAGAGGTCCAACTGCCTCCTAGCGGGGTGGGGTGGTCTGCAGGCCAGGCCAGCACAGAGAAGCAAGCAGCAGCTGCCTGAGCAGGCAGAGATGCTCCAACTCACCACACGTCCGGGCATCCCAATGGCACCTTTGTCCCCCTGATGAAGGAGGCAGAAACAATTAGAGGTGGCCAGAGCCGGGCCAGCATGTGAGGGGCCCCATGGCTAGCTACACACCCAAGATCTGGTTTGCCTGGGTGCTTGGGATGATTCCCAGGCATTGTGGGTGAACTTGCCCCTTGAGCCCCACAGACTGTTCGGTCGCATCCTTGTCACGCTCAGCCTCAAGGCAGGGAGAGTGAATGGCAGCTCCCATCTGACAGAAGGGTGAATCACTACCCTTGCTCTGTCTCTGCCAGAGCTGGGGAACAGTGCCCATGGTCCCCAGCTCCTCTCCAAGCCCTGTGTCTGCAAAGACTACCAACAGAGTCCTGCCCCTCCTCGCCACCAACCGGCACCCACAGTGCGCCATGTGGCTTCAGCCGCATCACGAGTTTCAGCTGCTCAGAGCGAACTGCTTTGTTTTGCAGCCAGGGGTTATATCTCCTCATTCTGGAAATCTGCTTATTAAGTTTTATTCCTCACTCTTTCGGTAGAGAATATTTTTTTGCAATCATATATGTGCAGACTCATAAAATCTGGGGTAGGGCTTGGGGTTTGCTGGGAGCCTGGAAGGATGGAAAGCCACAGGAGCTGAAAATCAGACGGTGTTTGTCCCGGTAGGAAAGAGCTGGGTTTGTGGCTTCATCTGAAGGGTGGGCATTTCTGGAGTGATTTTTGTGTCTGCTGACGCCACTTAGGCAAAATGTCCTGAGGGATAATTAACATCCTAAGATGTACATGGACACACCAGGGAGTAGCAACCAGCTCTGAATTAGGCTCCTGTTACACGTACACTGTCAAGACTGAAGGTGTCTTCAGTAAAGTGTTCAGACTTTGGCAAACAGTGGCAGGGTTGCAGTGAGGGTTATGAGCACGGATCATAACCATGATCCATGAGCTCCCTGAAGCTCCCTGAGCATCTGGGCTTCCCTCCTGGGGCTGCTGAGAGGATGCCAAGAAACAATGGCTCTGGGAATCTAACTCTGGGTGCCTTCACCTGATGAGTGCCATGTAAACTGCATCTACAGGTACCGAGCCCAGCAAGGTTCCGGGGAAGCGATTGTTATAAACATGTGTGTACCTCACACTTTTGGATTTCACAACAAGGGACCAGCATCAGCAGATCTTTTTGTGGGTCACTCCCAGGCCCCCTCATGGGGAAGCCTGAGTAGGGCTGTGACCCTTCCCACTGAGGACGCCAGCCCACTGGTCATCGGTTGTGACAGCCCAATGGCCCACTTGCTCTTGTGCTTTTGAATATTCTTTCAGGATGTGTGTTTTGGTTTCATTTCTTTTTTAAAAAACTAATGGTCTTTGCAGTCCTGGCCATAAAACGCTTGGGTTAGGGATGGGCATGGAGTGGTCGGAGACTGGAAATTCTTGTGTGGCGGCCCCTGCTCTGCAAATTGCCCCCAAATGCTTTTTAAAGGTGGACATTGTCAGAAAAAAACAAAGTCTGCCCACGTTCCCCCAGTCATCTGATTTCCCTCCTCCTTGGATTTCATGGGACAGATTGCCCTGTACTTCTTTGCTCCAGGGTTTGTACTTGCTGGGACAGTTTTCATTTTTCAAAGCTAAACATTCTCCCACATGTATTTCATTAAGAGAGTCCTTGCTAGATTTGAATTCTAGAAGTTTCTGGTTTAGTCAAGAGGTTATAGCACAATTCACATTGAAAAGAGGAGAAACTGGGATAGAAAGATGCACAGGAAGCTCTGGAATCCAACTGAGGTGGCCTTCGGGGCAGGGAGAGAGGACAGCCTGGTGCCAGCCCTGGCTCCCCCTAAATGCCCACCTTGGCCATCTGGCTGGCTAGAGCATCTCACCTGAGCCAACAGCTATCCGAGGACCCATGGTATCCAGTACTCCATGCATCGATACCCCAGGATACATTCCACAGGGGAATGTCTTTGAAGACTTTAAAGATGGATCTCAGATGCCAGTATGGATCACAGAAAACAGCAGTATGGGATGCTATGTGATAACATGGGGCCTTCAACAGGTCTACATCTGAGGCTTGGACAATCAGACCAGCTATTTGCCCTCTCTATTTCCTCATCTATAAAATGGGTGTAATAGTACCTATTTTATTGAGACGGTGAACAAATCAAATGTATAAAGAGCTGCCTGGCATGTATTAAGGTCTCAGTGAGAGAAGGCTATGAGTACTATTTCTACTTTTGTCCCAAGGCCCCCATGGTTACTGGACCCAGCTTCTCTAGCACTCAGAAATGGTAACTCGGGGGGAAAGTAAAGCTTTTGAGTCTACTCTTACCAGGGGACAAAGCAGGGACAGTGGCCTTCAATGAAGGTGGTATGCAGGAGGATAATCAGTAAGCCAGGGGGCTGCCTTCCCATCCAGCCCCCCACTATGGGGCCACCAGTCCGAAGTCAGGTGCAACCCTGCAGGGGCCTGCATGCTGTCATCTGCCTGCCTGGGGCCCCAGGAAAGGTACCCAGGTGCTTCACCCTCAGCCGTAGGTTAGACATGCTGAAGAGAGGCCTCCCATCCAGACACACCTGGTGGAAAGTGGCCACCCACCCTCTCCTGTCCTTGGATTGAGGAAGAGCCCGTGAGAGAAAGGCAAAGCGAAAAAGAAATGAAAGGTACTTACCGGGAGGCCGGGTCTTCCAGCAGGACCCTGAAATTGAGGAGGAAAAGTGAAGTTTAGGAAGGTCAGGATATTGCAATATCTGATAGTTCCAACTAGCTGTGTGATCTTGGAGTCCCTTGTGCTCTATGAGCCTCTGTTATTTTATAAACAAAATGAAGACAGGGCCTTAATCACTAAACTTCCTTTCAGTTGTAGCATGCATTCAGTCACTCATTCATTTGTTCAGGAAAGCAGTTAGCAGAGATCTTCTCCGTGCCAGGCCCAGGGCCTGTGCAGGGAAAAGAAGACAAAAATGCCGCTTCATAACTATCCCTCAAGGAGCATCAGAGCTCCAGGCCTCACCAGCATGTCCCCTATCTCTGAGCCTCTGTGCCTCAGGGTCCCTACTCATGTGTTCTGGCCCTGGCCTGGGAAAGGGCCTGAGGGCCTGGGGCTTGGCCCTTCCTGTCCTACCACACAGGAGAAGCCAGACACCATCTCTGATGCAACCAGTCTGCCTGGGACACTTCTGGTGGACTTGCCCCATCTGCGCCAATGGACCGTGACCAGGGAGCAGAGGGTGGGAAAGGGTGGGAGCCTCCCTGGGGGGACCCCTTCCCCTCTGTTGGGATGGTGAGGGGAGCAGTGGGACTTCCTTCCTTTGATGCCTCTAACTGGCTTCAGGCCACCCTCTCTACAGTGAATTGGCCCTGAGAGTGAGCAGGAGGCTGGACCCCACCCCATGTGGCTCCAGAAGCCTGTCCTCACTGACCACAGCCATGTCTGTCTCAAACCCTTTATATGAATAACTCTAGGACTCTTGCCTAGCACAATTCTGGGTGTAGACTAAAGACTCTCTATGATGGATCTAAAATCCCATTGAAAAGAGGAAAACATTCAACAAAGCATTGATCATCATAGTTATTCTCAGAGTAATATGCACAGGAGGGGGAGCAGGAATGCAGGAGCTTCTTAGAAACTCACATGTTTTTCCTTCTGGCCTCCAACTTCCAGATAGATCTGATACAAGAGGGTGGTGGAGAAACTGCTCTAGGAGCTGCCTGGTGGGATGTCGTGGGGCACCCTGCAGAGGGTGGGAGGACTACCTGTAGATAGCTTTTGTGTTTTTTTTTTTTTTTTTTTTTGAGAGAGCTTTTGGAGCCAAGCCCCACCCTGGCATGCCCAAGGCCTGGGGTCAGGAGAGACAGGGTCTTGGTAAGGGAGAAGCAGGCTTCAATTAACAGCAGGGCTCTGGGGTCAGACAGCCCAGCTGTCACTTACTAGTCAGTGACCTCAGGTAAGTCACTTGGCCTCCCTGTACCTCAGTTTCCTCATCCTGTAAATGGTAGAACAATCTCTACCTCTTGGGATCGAATGAGATAATGTATGTAGAGCATATGGCGCAGGGCTGGCAGGGAGCAAGCGCTGAGGACCACAGCCCTTGGAAAAGAAGAGGACTGGCTGGGAGGTATGTGCAGCTAGGCCCCCTCTCTCCTTTCACGGGCACAGCCATCAGCTATGTTTCTCTCCTTCCAGCCATCCCACTCTTCCCAGAAACCCACGGCAACACCAGGAGTAGGTCTCAGGTTGCCCACCTGGAGACAAGTCCCTCTGCCCCAGGGCTGCTGAGCAAATGCAGGCAGTACCAGGAATAAGGCCCCCTTCCTGGGGCCTTATTTCTGAGGACGTCCGGGAGGTGGGGTGGGGAGCGGTGACGCCCTCACAGAGAACCGGGCTCAGGGGATGCTGGTTAGTGGCTCCACAGGTAGAGGGTCAGTGTCCACCCCTCTCTGCTGAGTTTTACCCCCGGGGCACTAAAAGGTAAGCTCCCAGGGCAGGCAGGGCACTTTCTATTTTGCTCATGGTTGTGTCCCCAGTGCCGTAAGGAGTGCTGAGCTTTTAGTAGGTCCTTAATTCATGTTTGTGAACAAATGAACCTGGGAATGCAGCCGCCTTCTTTCCCAGCCCCACAGAGACAGCCTGGGGGCCCCCTGGTGTCCTCCTTGATCCAGAGCTGCAGCGCTGAGCCAGTCCCTCTTCCCACCACTTCTAAATGCCATCAGGGGGTGCGCCAACAAGGGGCGGCCACCTCCCTCCACCCCAAGAGGCAGGCGCACCCGTGGAGGGTTCCCAGCCTCACATAGGGGCTCTGACCCGGAGACGGACACAGGGGCACTTTACTGACCGCTCTGTGTGCTGACCACCGACATCCTGCACGCAGGGGACGTTCTCCAGGGTCTTGGCAGCAGGTAAAGGAGGGCTTCACCTAACCGTCCCTGCTCCTGGGCTCCTGCCACAGCTCTGCTTTCCTGTTTGCTCTGTCCGCCAGGAAGCTCAAGGCTGAACCCGAGCCTTGTCTGCACAGGATGTTGTGGGGTCATCAGCTTGGATGCCCCTTGTTTCCTTGCCTCTGCTCTCCATACACCCACCCACTGTTTCCTTATCTAGTTTATGAGTCACTCCCAAATGTTCCTTGGAATAATGTAGGATAGAAATAAAATGAAGTAGTAAATTAATGAATAAAAATGCAAAGAATAACAATTTCCTCCTGAAAATCTTTGGGGAATCTTTGGGGATCATCTAGGGAAGTCTTCTGTTTCTAGAGTTTAAATGAGTTAACATATTTTACATGGAAAAGTATATACATAATTATACACACATAGAGGCATGTATAATATGTATACATATACACACATACCCATACATATAAGAAAGAAAGAAAGATAGCACTAAGCTGTGTCCAACTCTTATGACCCTATGGATTGTAGCCTGCCAGGCTCCTCTGTCCATGGGATTCTCCAGGCAAGAATATTGGAGTGGGTTGCCATTTCCTTCTCCAGGCCATACATATAATTATGTACATATTCCTTACAACATCTGGATGAGCCAGGTACTATTACCATTCTCATCTTATAGATGAGGAAACTGAGGCACAGAGAGGTTAAGTAATTTTCCCAAGGTCACACAGCTAGAAGTGGCAGAAGCAGGATTCGGACCCAGGTAAATTGGCTCCAGAGCCCATGCTTGTAATCACTTTATTACACTGCTTCCATAAAAATACAACAGTGTCTAACACATAGTAAGTGTTAGCTAGTATTTCAGCAAGCATCACTTTCAACCAAGGCTAGCAGCTGAACATCCTATATTTCCTCAAATTCCTTCAGAGTAAGAGACACGTATACCTCCCTTGGTCACCTGTTTCAACCTCACAGTTGGCATCACTAAGACACTCTCTCTTAAATCTAGAGCCGGAATGGCCAACAACTGTCAGCTGTGGACTCCAGTAGACTGGTAGTGACTGAGTAAAGCTCTCTGTTGAGATGCCTCCTAATCGATTAGCAATGTCTGTCATGGGCAGCGGGGGGGGGGGGGGGGNGGGGGGGGGGGGGGCAGCAGTGGTGGGCACCAATTTTCTACCGCTCAGATGATCCCCGCTGCTACTTAAATCCACCCTCCATGGTTGTGTTCTCTCGGCGCTGACTGTCCTTGTGTCCACAGGAACTGGAGTCACCCCAGGAGGCGCCCCTGAGAAACACCCCAAGGGCAGCAGACCAGCCTTGTGATCAACTGCCATCTCCCTCTCCCTGCCTCTGGCCGGTGGCATTCTTCCATTGTGGGAAGCAGAGAGAACAGGCAAGGGGGTGATTTCCACCCTGGTTGGCTTCCAACTTCCTCCTCATCTTGTGGTTTCAGCCAGGGTTGGGTGAAGACTCAGGCCTCTTCTGTGTCAGGTTGAGAATTCAGGAGAGCTACCTGAGCCCCTGTCCCTCACTCCATGGGGCTGGGGGCTGGGTGGGCAGACATTGGGAGGAGAGAATCATACCCACCCATGCATGCATCTGAGCTAAGTCGCTTCAGTTGTGTCTGACTCTTTGTGATCCCATGGACTGTAGCCCACTAGGCTCCTCTGTGCATGGAATTCTCCAAGCAATAATACTGGAGTGGGTTGCCATGCCCTCCTCCAGGGGATCTTCCTGGCCCAGGGATTAAACCCATGTTTCTTATGTCTCCTGCACTGGCAGGCAGGTTCTTTACCACTAGTGCCACCTGGGAAGCCCACTCAACCACCTCCCAATTTGCTTCCACCTTGCAGAGCCCTGCGCAGTGACAGCACCTCCCTGGCTGGGGACCATTGTGGGATAAGGCCTGTAGAAGTTCTCAGGACACTGCGTTCCTGGGGAGCACAGCCCCCAAGTCAGGCAGGGACCCAGCGCTGACTCGGGTTAGCCAGGAAGCCTGGCTGTGGGGACCAGGTACTTGGGGGGAGGTCCCTGGAGTGGGGGAGGTGAGGACTCTTTCTGGCTTTGTCTGAAAAGAAAGGGAAAAGCAGCCCATTTCCAGCAGGTGGTCTGTCGAAGTTTCCTATGCAGAGTTTATTTTGGAAGATTGATGACAGGAATTGAGGTCTGACATCCAAAACATGCATGATAAATCAACCCTCCTCCTCTCAGGGAATGACAAGATTTTCCTCTCTCTCTAAGTGAGCAATGAGCAAGCTGGGCGGTATTGTCAAGCTGGGTTCAATGTGCCTTTCAGAACATGGATGCAACGGAACATCATGGTCTCATTACAAACAGGGTAGCTGCTCTCCACGGTTCAGATCAAGACAACGACTATGGAAATGACTTCTCCGAGGAAGGGCTGGTGATATAGGCTTTCAGGATCCTTGAGAAAGATCTGATTTGGAGGGCTCGGCCCTTTCAACTTCAATCCCCAGCTCCCCGGGGGGTGACCTCTGGGCCTTTTGTTGAGGTATCAAATGCTGTCCTCAGAAGACACGCTCCTGTTCTCTGGATCCATTACTTCGGGGAGACAGTCTCCTCGGGCTCTTCTCAGGTTCTCTGGAAATGGCTCGGCTCCCCCGCCCTGCCCTGGACTCTAGGGCAACGCCAGGGGAAGGAGACTGACCGGCTGCCTCGACATTGTGTTGCTTCCCAATCTAACCCGCTGACACCACCCTCTTACATAAAAACACCACCACCAACAGCCACCACCTGCCTGAAGTGACTTGGCCAGGTGGAGCTGCCCACACAGAGGGGCGAAGACCA